GGAACAGAGCAGAGGAGCCAGAGGCACACACAGAGACAGGAGGAAACTGGACTCCTAACATTGCTGAGAACTTGGATCTGCATGGAGACAGCAGGCTATGCAGGTGGGAATACTGGGAATGTGGATTACTGGTCATCTACAGGGAGAAACACAAAATTAACCTCCACTCAACACCATCTACAAAACCAATCTATATATTTTTTAAAAATCAGTAAAACTATACCCTTCCAGAAGACTGGATAGAACATATTTCTGGTGTGTTTCTTAAACATAAAACACAAAAAGTCAATTAAAGGAAATTATCGGTAAATGCAAGTACATTAAAATTAAAAACTTATATAGTTCACCCAAAGATACTAGAAAAAAGTAAAAAAGGCTGACATGGAGAACTGTGTTTGTGGTTGTATTTAGCATGATACAAATTTACTACTTGTATGTAAACACTAAAATGCTTCTCTAAATAAAAAAAAACTTTAAAAATTTTTAAGAAATGACACAAAGGAACAAGTCCAAAATATGTATCTCATTAGGACTCAGAAGAATGTAAATCCCACAGTGAAATTTCATTCTACATTATTAAATTAGAAAAAAAATGTTAAAAATGTGACCCTAACAATTGTTGTATAGGTGTAGATGAGGGGGGATCTTTATTACCAGAGGGAGTGTTAGTTTGGAAAAGCAGTTTAGGATTCCCTGGTGGAGTTGGACTTCTGTGAGCCCTACATGTCTAGGAGAAGGGATGCACGTGAATGTTTGCAAATGCATCGTTTCGAATGGAAAAGCATCTCCATGCTTCCCCATCAGATGTGGAATAAATAAACTCATGGCACCTTCAACACTAAACTAAGATGTTTCACAGGACTGTAGACGAACGAAAGCAAGTCTACCTGCGTCATGACGGCTGGTCTGAAAATCATAATGTGGAACATGAAAACTAAGTCTCAATAGAATGCAGTCTGGATCCATTCCTGTATAGATTAGAAACAGCAATGACCAAAGAATACACACGTGCATGGCAAAAAAAAATCTCTCAGAAGCCGACAGGGCCTGATTAACACAATCCTTACTGGGTAGCTGGTAGGGAGGACTAGAAGAGCTCAGAGGCCTTTGGGGCATCTGAGTTTCTTTTTGTGGTGTGGTAGAAGATGAGAACAAGAATCCATTTGGTATCCATGTCAGGGACATTGCCTCATTCAGCATCAGTGATGATCCCTTTTGCACAGGTCTGCTTACCCTGCTTTGCACTCTGGTGTCTAATGCCTATAATATTGTGGACACTAGTTACTGGTTTATAATTTCTCTAACTGACCCATTGGCAAGTCCAAAACTTAAGTTATTAACTAAATGATTACTAATGAGGGTGACTCTTTAATAATTATGGAACAAAATGTAAACATTTTAAATCTTGGCAATGTAATAGGAAAAGTACAGTAGTTTAGAGTTGAAAAAGCAAGCGAGGAAAGGTGGATGGGATAGACGGGCGAGTTCCCTCACTACACATAATGTAAAGAGGTGTTGTACTGTCAGAAGTTGATTAATCAAGAAATAGAAGATTAAATGTATTTAAAGTTACAAATATCTACTAAAAGTAATAACAAAACTAATAAAATTTGCAGGGGAAGGGACAGTATGTTAAGATGCCTTATCTCTTGTTTTTCATATCAGAGAGCATTAGGAATATCTAAAGTGGATACCTGTATGAATAAAAATAATAGTCTATGACAGAGTAACAAATCAGGGGCTAACAGAATTAAAAACAAAAGCAAGAAAAGTCATTACCTTTCCTGTACTGTTTGAAAGCAGAGATATATGAATTACAGTTGAAGAAAAGTTGTAGCATAACCAACTTTCTGCTGCAGTAGAATGCAGTGTGATATGTGTCTATTTTGATTCCCTTTTCAAAACTCTTGTCTGGTCCATACCCTAGCACCGCTGATGGAGAATGGAACCCTTCTGCCATGCAGTCACTTTACGTGTTTAAGGGGCATTCTTATGCTTACCAGTCAAGGGGCCAGGAATAAAAACCTTCAGTACATTTAGTGAATTAGAAAGGTAACTACCAAAAAACTTCTAAGTGGCCTGTTAGAACCATCAGGCTGTTTCATACTTCATATCTCAGGGGCAAATGTACCTTAACCCACCTGTCCTTTTTTTTTAAGTGCTGGGGATGAACCCAGGGCAAGCACTCTGCCACAGAGCTACACCACCACCGCAGACCTTCTACTTTAGCATGTAGTCCTGCATTAGTGACAGATCATCAAAGGACATGTGTCAAGTTGAAAATACATGAACCATACGTATAGGCATCCTCTGTATATAATTTGCACACAGCAGTATCATCCTTTTCATAGCTCACATCTCTTCCCCTCTGTAACTATATTGACACCTGCAGAATGACCACACTCCTGCACCTGAACAAGTCTTTTATGTCCCGCTTATCAATGACCAATGCAGGTTCTCTGCCAAAGGGACCAGCATGGGGAGACCCATCATGAGAAAGATGAAAGTAAGATCAACAAGATGAACCCAGCAGCCTTTTGAGGACGCTGCAGGGAACCCTCTCCAGAGACCTAACTAACTAAATAGATCTCATACTGAGAATTTTCTAGCTCTCCCTCCACATTTCCACTTGTGCCCTAACAGACTATGATTTCCAATGGTTTATGCCCTTAACATTTCAAATTAACTTCAGAAAATGCATCAGCTAAAATTTCAAATGTTGGGGGTAGGGGAGAGTTTTGCATTGCGTTCTTCCTGAAGGACGAAAATAGGATAATCCCTGTCTTAATCACAAGCTTACTTCTACCCAGAAAAGATCATTCATTATCAGTGCTGAAGTTGCTAGAAGCACTCACTTTTGGACTATTCGTGATTATCCCATTTGGCCCCTTGGTATCCTTCTTATTTGCCAGAACCTATTCTGTTTTCCCTGTTGCCACAACATAAGTGCTGCTAAGAGCAGAGATAATCAGCTGCAGCTTTGTCTGTGAGCTGACGCCAGCCCGGGACTCCTGCAGCCCCCAGCACCCATGTGCAGTCGAGCCTGTGGCCTCTCAACCTGCAGCTTATTTAGCAGCGTTATTGCTCAAGGTAAAGCATACTTATTCAAACATCCCAGCAAGGCCTTCATTTATATTATTGATTCCCTACTTACTGACATCAGTTATTTGGAAATATTTACTATTGCCTGCCACTGCTGAGCCCGCTACTTTACATTGTTTATAATGGTGTGTGTGGTGTAACTATGGTCATGATGCCCTGGGGAAAAGGAACCAATTTCTCCAAATTTAAAAAAAAAAAAGGATCAATGTATTTGAGAAAAATGAAATCTCCGTTCAGTTTTGTCACATCACGCAGGTGTTATGACTCTTATTTGGAGGTTATGGCAGGAATGATGATGCTCTGTGGAAAAATGATGCTGGAAAGTGCTAGATTAGATTATTTTCCAGCACAGAAGCTACCTGACCAGACCTTACATGTCTCCCAAGGGAGCATATCACAGCCCCGCCCAGAAGACTGAATATAAAAGTATGAGCTCTAGAGCAAGTTGACTGGCTGCCTTGCTTTTACATCAGCATCGCTTCATGTGGACAGGGACCCCAACATGCCCAGGGTTTGTCGTCAGCATGGACTTTGTGGCTTTTTTGTTTTCCCCTAAATGACTGGCATCTGAGCCACGTGGCTGTCTCTCGTGGGTACCAGCACCACGGACATGCAGCACAGCTGTGTCTGAGACAGATGCATGAACTCCTTGTTGCTGTGTCTTCCTCTTCTCTCAGCTCTTTAATTTCCTATGAGAAACAGAGAAGAAAATGCGAAGTTTGCTCTTGAGCTCAGCCTGGACTGTATCCTGGGGATGTGCTCATGATGTGATTTAAGGGATCCTCATTCCTGAGAAAAAGTGACCACCCGTTACTGTTCACAGCTGACAAATGAAGCTTGGCGCCGTGCACAGGCCTGAGGGCCTGAGCAGTGGCCTGAGAGGTCCCAGTACAGTGGTGGTGAACCTACAGCATGCATAGCGCAGCCAGCTGTTTCTTATCACTGAAAGCTCTAAAAGGTTCAGCATCACGGTCCTAGGAGATGTCCAGGTCTGGCTTGAAAAGCACAACAAAGCCAGCTGCCACCACCCTGCCCACTTCTGGCAACTCACAATCTATGCAGGGTTTGTTCAACTGTTGCACTGCACAGCCATCTGCAGCTGCAGCCGACCAACTCTTCCATCCTAGCCTCCAGCAAATCCAAGAAGGCTCCTTCCAAAACGATGATGCCTGCTTCCAATCACCATCTGGTCCAGGGCTAGGCATTATGCTATGCCTGTTGCAAAGGGAATTTGTTCTTAAAACTACACAAAGTGAGGTGTTTCCTGGCTCCCCAAACTAAAACCCATTAAACCCCCGATGACCACATCCCACAGAAACATTCTTGTAACGAGTCTCTCAGAGGGTCAGGAAGGATTTGTGGTTTACATCTTACTGTGCTTTAACTTGGGGACCCCCAGACCTGCTGCCAGAGCTCTGTGGGGTAGAATTCTTGGGAACCTCACAACTCCAACCTCAGTGTTCTGTAAAATTCTTCCGTCCAAATTCTGATTCAGCCCAACTCTATTTGGCTCGTTAGCAGAGAGGATCAAAGTTCAAAGAGTCTTGGATGGAGAATGCTAATGGGTTTATTTCCTTAAATTTTCTGTACAATGAAATGGAAAGAAACTGATTCCATCTGTAAGATATTCATCTTTGGGCAGGGTCTCCACTTCCAGTCTCTGGTGTTTGCAAATAGCTCCTCAGTACCTACTCGTGGAGCTGTGCCTGGGCAATTGCATGGCAAAGATGAGATTATTTTGCAAATCCGCTTCTCAGGCAATAAAGGATGTTTTAATAGCCTCCTGCTGCACATTTTGAAAGATTTTTAATAGGAGCATAGAAATATACTTAATCTCTCTTAATTCTTAAAGACGGCAAGACTCACATGTTGGTATTTTTTTCTGCTCCCTTTTTAAGAGAAAGGTGATGCTGAGCCGGAGAGTCCAGACAATGCCACATCGAATACGTCGTAAGTCTCTTTCGTGCTTCTATCAGAAAAGACTGTTCTTTAATATGCTTGTGAAATGACACAGCACGAGCGGCTTGTAATAGTAGTGATCATAAAGGAAGCAAATGTGGTTTCTTTTCTCATGATAATGTCTTTTTAAATGCTTTTGGGTACAGATGTGTTTTGAGGTCTTCTGCTTTAGCATAGTAAGAGGAATCTTGAAAATGCAGATGTGCCTCTGAATAAAATAGGAATATAATGAGATGTGAGGGTGCGTGGGGAGAAGGGAGGTGAGCCCTTTCGAATTTAGCTGGACACTCTCAGCACCTGTGTAAGAGGGTACAACTTTGCACACATGCTGGGGACATTCTGTGCCACACACCTGTGAAATACCAAGGCCTTATAAAAGCCTGCCCTCTGCAATCTCACTTCTAAATTATGTGAAAAAATGCAGTTATATACCCATATCGCTGGAATCTCAAGAGTCTGTGTCTTTAACAAAGCAGTTTTAAGCTAAGAAAACACACTCGCAAAGCACGCGTTCCACACTTTTATTGTTCTTCCTCGGTATTCAAGGCATCCACAAACATTTTAATGACTAATTTGATGCCAAAATTTAAGGAAATATTTAAAGAAAATAGTTAAGAAGCTATCAAGTTATTTTGTTTTAGTTCCACAGGAATCAGTAACAGGTTTGTTCCTGACAAAAAATCTTTATGTTTATCATTCTAAAGAGTGAAAGTTTTTTGTTGTTGTTGTAAGACAGGCTTTGTGAATTGTACATATTTTTGGTTTAGTGCTTGTCTTACTAATCTTTTCATGTGCTGTGCATTAGAAATCACAGTTTGTGGTATAACGTTGCATGTCTCATTTTGTCCGAGACCTGTTTCTCAGTGTAGAAAGTTCCTTTGGCTTCCCTGAATAGCTTATGTATGTTGTAATATGTAAGATTATGTGTCTCTCTTTCTTAAGATACTACCCTAAAAGTTCTAAGTAGTTCCATTGTGTGGTTTCTGATGATGCAATGAATGTGACTGATCTTAAGTGGTTAAAGTATTATTAATTTTTAATGTTTTTTTTCTTTTTGTGCTGGAAACTATAATGCGAAAAGGGTTTTAATGCCATCTGGAGGCATTCTAGAGAACTGAAAAGGGTAGAATCCATGGAAAAATTAGTTATTTTGAGTAACATTTAGACTTGATAAGAGTTTATACAACAAGAAAGTAAGCTACTGGAGAACGTTTCATATTTTAGAAATTATTTAACAAGTGTGTTAATTATTGTAGATACAACAATTTTTCAAATTCTAAACAGCAAAATTACTTAAGAGACAGAGAAAGCCGTTAGAAAACCACCACCATATTGTTTCATTTCACACATTTTAAAATCCCTTTCAGCAGACACCAATTTTGTAGTTCAGTGTGTTTTGATGTGCAATTAACATTCTCCTTCTCTTATATATTTCTAAAAAGTCCCTTCCCTAAAAGCATTGGTTTCTATTACTCAGTACCTTATTTCTTATAACATGTAAAAAATAAAAAATCAGTTGTTTGAGGAATTATTTTTAAACCCTCTGAAGTTGTAAAAACTGGAGAAGCCTGAAACATTACCTCACATCCCTTCCTCTCTGAGCAAAAATAGTTCCTCACTCACCTGCCTCTTGAGCTAGAGAAAGAAAAACAGAAATAAAGTCTGAAGTTGCAAGGTTGTCTCTTAAAATTAGAAAATTCTGAACTTGGCATCTCTCAAAGAGCCCCCCTCGCCGTGGGTCTATTATAATTAAACAACAGGAGCAACATGTTATGCACAGAGTGAGATTCGGATGCCTTGGAAATGAGCAGCATTGACATTCGTATGTGCTGCGCCTCCTTTGAGCGTTATTGGGCAGGTAGAGAACCTTTATTACAGATAAGGAATCTGAGGATCAGAAAGTGTGTTCAACTTAAGTAATAAATTAGGACATAAATCTTTTTTGTTCTTTGCCCTGTTACCATACTGAGGGATGGGTGGGTCTCAAGGGACAAAGCCAAGCCATGAGTTAGAATCAAGTAAAAATACTGAGACCAGATATTACTCATTAAGCAGCAAGTGTACTAGCTTGCTTGGGCTAAGTAAGTAGCCCAAGACAAAGTAGCCCATGACAAAGTAGCTCAAGCCGGGTGTCTTATACAACTGATACATCTTTCTCAGTTCTGGAAGCTGGAAGCTCTCTATCAAGGTGTCAGCAGGGTTGGTTCCTTCTGAGTGCTACAAGGGAAGGAGGTATATGTTTTAGGCCTCTCCTTGGCCTATACCTGGTCGTCTCCTACCTGTGTGCCTTCATGCCATCTCTCTATACACAGGTGTCTCTGTATCCCATTTTATAAGATCCTCTGCTGTATTGGAGTAGGGCCCATCCTAATGATTACCTACTTGCTTACTTCTGTGAATACCGTCTCCAGTTAAGGTCATATCCTGAGATCCTGGAGGTTAAGATATAAACACGTAAAAGAGAAAGAGGGTAATTTGTCCCATAACATTAAGGATAAGAATAATGAGAATGACTCAGTAGCCTGGTAAACAGAACCAGGAATGTGCAAAATCCAGAAGATAAAACAAGGGAAGAGATCCTACATAAACAGACAAAAATTTATGGGCTCCCTGGGCACTAAGAGGGTGAATTAGAGTAAAGAAAATTGGAGATGCCAAAGCAAGACAGTAGGATAGATGCCTCCTGAGCCCTTGGCTATGGGCTCAGTCCATGGGTCAGACTCAGTCTCAGTGGGACTTGCACATCCCTCTGTCTGTATCAGCCTATGACCCTGACAGTCAGGAAAATCTGTTATATGGGCTAAAATTATAGTGCAAAGTAAGGAGCCTTTGGACAGAAAAAGCTGACTTCCTATGGAAGCATCTTCCCTCCCTTACAAAGCATCTTTGGTCCCTTAAAAGCAGGGCATTAATTACAAGTGGTCTTAGATACTCGTTGCTGGCAGAACAGTAGTGTGGATAACACCTGGGGATCCCCTTAGGGTTAAGTGAGCCTGTGAATATTCAGGAAGATGAAAGGAACAATTTCATCTTTCATCATCATCGTCATCACACAGGAAAGGAAAGTAGACAGGACAGCACCCAATTCCACACATAAATTCCCATCAGTTTGAATAACCCCTAAGTCATATATGCATGGGAAGGTACTAAAGAGCTCAGTGGAAAACAATAACTAGGACGCTGAAAAAAACTGATCAAAGATTTCAACTGATGCCTACTGCTTACAGCTGCTGCCTGTAGATCCTGGAATTTGAATCTCATCCATATTTATGGTGCTAGGTAAACAAGTTTTCTAACTCCAGAGTCTCTGCCTTCAAAGTAAAGGAGTTGCCCTAAAACTAACAGCAAATCCAAAATAGATTCTTCTTGACAGAGTGTGACACCGAGCATCCAAGGGTACAAGCTAATTATCTAAAGATTTAATTGCCTGATAGAACAAAAATGTCAACACTTTTTAAAAAAAAGTTAAACATCTAGAATCTCTGTAACACGTCATCCACATGTTTGGTATATAATCAGAATGAAAAGAGATGAAGAAAGAGGAAAGTGTAGCCAGAGGTGGTGGTGCATGCCTATAATCCCAGCACTCAGGAGGCTGAGGCAGGAGGATCAATCATTATGAGTTTGAGACCAGCTTGGGCTACAACGTGAGCCCAAGGACAGCCTGAAATGCATAGTGAGACCCTGTCTCAAAAAAGACAAAAAAAGAGGAAAAGAAGGAAAGAAGGAAAGAAAGAAAGAAAGAAAGAAAGAAAGAAAGAAAGAAAGAAAGAAAGAAAGGAAAGAAATAGGAAAATGTGATCAATAGTCAAGAAAAAAATTCAATAGACAGCAAGATGTCCTAATAATTATAACTAAAAAGGGATGAGTCTCACCAGGGAAATGTTAACTATTAAGAAGAACCAAACGCAAATTTTGGAACTGAAATGTGCAACATTTGAAATGAGAAGCTCGCTGAGTAGTGTTAAATGAGTGGTGGAAATGTCAGAAGATCTGTACTCCAATCAACAAGAATTATTCACTGTGAAGAAAAGTGAGATAAAGATTTTAAAATGATGAACAGAGCATCTGTGATTATGTGATAATGTTGGTGAATCTAATATAAATGCACTGGGATATCAAGACAGAGAGAGAAAAGAGGTCAGAAAAAATTATCTGAAGAAATGCCAGCTGCAAAATTCTGAGACTGAGTGAAAGCATGCACTTATGTATCCAAGAAGACATGGAACCTCAAGCAGAATAAATACAAAGAAAAACACACCCAGTCACCCTGAAGAAAACTGAAGATGCAATAACAAGTGTAGATTATGAACCATCTGGCAATTAATTTGGTGACTTACATCAGTTTTCTTGGGAACAGTGGAATTTATCATAAATACCACAAGGAGAAAGACAAAATCTGAATGACTCTCTTTCTATTAAACATTGAATTTATAATCAAACTTCTTCTACAAAAAAAAAATTTCTCCAGGACCAGATGACTTCACTAATAAATGCAGAACTTTAAGAAATGTTTATACCAATGAGACACAGTGAGTGAACCATCAATCGTACACAAGTTCATTCAGAAAATAAAGGAAAAAGGAAAACTACCTGACTCATTATATTAGGCCAGGACAACTTTAAACCAAAACTTGAGTCAACTGTATAAAAAAAAGAAAATTATAATCCACTATCTACTCTAAACATCACTGCAAAAATTTATAACATATCTGTTGTGTTTCTACTTATTAGAAATAATGAATTATAAAATTAAATTTAAAAAGCAATTCCATTTATAAGGACATAAAACAATTAATTTACCAAAAGACATATGAGACTTGGGGATAGAAAATAGAAAAAAATATTTTGGAAAGAAACTTAAGAGCTAATTAAAGAGAGAGATGTGCATGAATTAGAAAACTTGACAATACTGGTATCTCATGTTTTCTCATTCCGATCTATATATTCAGCACAATTTTGATCAAAAGGTCAATGGGATATTTTTGCAG